TAGCTAAGGAATCTATGGAACTTATTGAGGATGAACAGCTGGAATTGATGGAGTTGGCTGCCTCAAGCAAGGGGTTTTCCTCTATTATACGTCTTGATTTTGATACTTTGCAAAACCTTGAATCATATAAGGGTGAGCAATTTATTTTTATTTCGCTTTCTATAATTTTACATAATTGTTTTCTTTGGGTATTCGGTGTTTATATGGAAATACTGAAAAGGGAATGAGTTTCTAGCACTGAAACCTTATCATTGTATTGTAGATTCGTTGTGTGTTTTCCCACCCAAGAGTGTAAAGCTAAGAAAACCATTTGCTATCCAACCCTGGATCAACTCTGAAGAGAATGTTGGTAACCTGCTCATGGTATGTTCTCATAATTACTTTTGCTTCTTTATAAGATACATAGCATATAAAATCCTTGTGTTACCTTGCATCATGTCCTCTGCTCTGGTCCTGTCAGAACATTTTTTTGGGGGGTTGGTGGATTGTTTAAGGAATCTGACAGTCGTCTAACTTTACAGTTCTTTATGATTTGAAATAGTAGGTGTATGCTTGTATGAGATAGTTAGGGACGTCTAAGTTTGGTAAACATGGGTCTTTCCTTAGTTTGATATTTTATCTAGTCATGATATTGCATTAAAAAATGTTTTTTATTGTGTGGGGCTTGTTTGTTGAATCAGCACTTCTGTGGATGTACTAATTTCCTGTCTGCATATTGCTTTATCAGTTTTATTCTTAGTTTAGCTAATTGCTTGAAACAAGGCTTCTGAATTTAAAATTTGAGAGCTGTGGTGGTCTATTTCAGGTTTGGAGATTTTTGATTACTTTTGCTGATGTTCTGGAGTTATGGCCTTTTACTCTCGATGAGTTTATGCAAGCATTTCACGACTATGTGCGTTGGTCTGGCCTTTGCTAGTGATTTCATGCTATCAGTTTAGCTATTTTCTTACATTCTTTTTGCTCATTTTTATATTAGGATTCAAGACTGTTGGGTGAGATACATGTTGCTCTTCTTAAAGTGATAATAAAAGACATTGAGGATGTTGCAAGGACACCTTCTACAGGATTAGGAATGAATCAGAATGGTGCTGTTAATTCTGGAGGTGGCCATCCAGAGATTGTGGAAGGGGTAAGTTCAGATATTTCTAATATTTTCTGTCCTTTTTTCAGAGAAATAACAGAGTCCAGTCCTGTAATATTGTCTTTTTTATGTTAGGCATATGCATGGGGGTTTGACATACGAAATTGGCATAAGCACTTAAATCAGTTGACATGGCCGGAAATCTTCCGACAGCTAGCATTATCTGCAGGATATGGACCACAGTTGAAGAAAAGAAGTGTTACATGGTCCTATGAAAAAGATAAAGACGAGGTTCAATTTTCTTTATTTTGCTTTATTATTTTCAGCTGCCGCTTTAAAGATTCTTGTGTTTCATGGTTACCTCCATATTTTAGTGATTTAAGAAAGAGAAATACAATTAAGATATAACTTCAGTTTGCTGGTTTCTTTTAAGCTTTTAAGTTTAACTTGATCCTTTGTATAGTTTTTGTTACTATCAAATGTTTTGCTGACAATTTTTTGTTTTTCATGCATTTTAATCAACAATTAAATGTTTTTTTGGTGTTAAGGTCATTGCATTGAATAAGTGGATCAAAATGTATATCTAATTGCAGGGCAGAAGTTGCGAAGATATCATTTCTACACTTCGTAATGGTTCAGCAGCCGAAAATGCAGTTGCAAAAATGCAGGAGAAAGGGCTATTAGCACCTCGAAGATCTAGGCATAGGTTAACTCCTGGAACAGTTAAGTTTGCAGCATTTCATGTTCTCTCGCTTGAGGGTAGCAAGGGATTGACAGTACTAGAGCTCGCAGAAAAAATTCAGGTGAGTTGCATATCCATTTTAAGTGCTCTTTCGTACTGTCAGGTTTTTTTTCCTTATCTTATGTCTCTTTACCTGTTAGAAATCTGGTCTTCGGGACCTGACAACCAGCAAGACACCTGAGGCATCCATTTCTGTTGCTTTGACAAGAGATGCCAAGCTTTTTGAAAGAATAGCTCCATCAACGTATCGTGTTCGTTCTGCATTTAGAAAAGATCCTGCTGATGCTGAGTCCATTCTGTCTGAAGCAAGAAAGAAAATTCAGATATTTGAAAATGGGTTTCAAGCTGGGGAAGATGCTGATGATGTTGCAAGAGAAGAAGAGTCTGAAAGTGACGAAGTTGATGAGGATCGTGAAGTTGATGACTTGGTAAATCCTTCAATTGCTAAAAAAACATCTGAACTGTGTGATGATTTATCATCAAATGGAAAAGAAAATTTGGTTAATGATGTAGAACTTCAAGATGAGTTTGATAAGGATATGCCTTGTTTTCCTGAGAATGGTTCAAAGAATACCGATTGTGCAAGTACTGCCACTGGACAACCTGTTGCTTGTGAAGATCTGAATGCTGGAAATCTTGGTGAAGATAATACGGAAATTGATGAAAGCAAGTCTGGAGAATCATGGGTTAAAGGGCTTGCAGAAGGAGAATATTCTGATCTCAGTGTAGAGGAGCGTCTAAATGCTCTTGTTGTGTTGGTTGGTGTGGCAAACGAAGGAAATTCAATCCGTGTTGTTCTTGAGGTAAAATTTATTTCATGTATGTCATCAAGTTGATTTTTGTATCTAGTTTATCAAATTGACTTGAAGAAATTTTTCAGGATCGTTTGGAAGCATCAAATGCACTGAAGAAGCAAATGTGGGCAGAAGAAGCACAGACAGACAAAGTTCGTCTGAAAGATGATATTTTTAATAAATTAGATTTTGCATCTATGGGTGGCAATAAAGTTGAAACACAAGACACATGTCCTATTGTGGAGGGCCACCGAAGTCCATTGCTTGACATTAATATTGACGCTGATAATAATGAGGCATCACCCAGCACTGCAGAAAATCAAAAAGCAGCTCCTGTTGCACAGAGCCTGTCTGTTGAAAGGCCCTCTTCAGTTCAAGATCTCTGTACAGGTCCAGATAACCCTCAGGCTCAGCTATCTGCACAATATTCAAAAAGGTCACGATCCCAGTTGAAATCTTATATTTCCCACATAGCGGAGGAGACGTTTGTCTACAGATCCTTACCCCTTGGCCAAGATCGCCGACGTAATCGATATTGGCAATTTGTTGCATCTGCTTCTTGCAATGATCCTGGCTCTGGCAGGATCTTTGTTGAATATCATGATGGAAATTGGAGGCTTATTGATTCTGAAGAGGTAAAAATTTTGTTTGGTGTAGTTTATTGTTTTTCCTTCCCCCATAGACTGATCCTTGTTTTGCTGATCAACTCATTTCTAACTTTAGCAGACGTCAAACACATTCCTCTTTTGTTTCGGTTTTGTGTTTTCCATCAATATCTACCCACTTAGCAAATGCCATTAAGAAGGATAACCTTAAAAATGTGTTAGAATATCTAGAAAATATCTCATAATATCTTTATTATATCAGAACATTTGAGGGTATCTTAAATGATATTTAGGAGTGGTTTTCAGATTTTATTATATTTTCTTCCTTATTCAGGATTAGGAATCTTTTACTAATTTACTAGCATAAATATGATTTAGTGCTTTGTATTTTGTATCGCATTTAATCAATATCAATTTTAGATTATTCATTAGTTTCTTCTTTTCTATCTTTACAAGCCACCATGGGTGTTCATTTTCAATTCTAATGTCTTGCAAAACTCCATGCACTAGATGTCCAGTCCAGTCCTGAGGGTGAGGAATGTGTGTTTAGATGAAAAATTAGATCCCACATTGACTGACCCCTTATATTATAATGACTCGGGCAATCCTTCCCACCTTGAGCTAGCTTTTGGGGTTGACTTTGGCCCAATCTGTTCTCAATTCTAATAATATGAATACCTTCCCCACCCTTTTATTCTCAGCAAATTCTTTTGTATGCCTCTTCCAAAGTTTCATTTTTTTTTTCTTATTTTATGGGCTAGCCAAATATGGTAATATTATTGAATCTGTTTATCTTTTTATCTTTGGGTGCCAATATTTTGTGAATTTTAATGTAGCTTTATGCTTCGTCTTAATTGGTATAATAAATTTTTTTTAACCAATCCTATAACAGGCCTTCAATGCACTTTTGAATTCACTGGATTCACGTGGGATGAGGGAATCTCATTTGCGTTTGATGTTGCTGAAGATTGAAAATCCGTTTAAGGAAAATGTTCGAAAGAACACACTTAGCAACAAAATTGGAAGCAGAGATGAAGCTGATGAAACTGATTCCAGTCCTGATCTCCAGACTGGAACTGACACTCCTAGCAGTACTCTTTGTGGCTTGAACTCTGATGTTTCAGAAACTTCATCATCCTTCAAAATTGAGCTCGGGAAAAGTGAGAGCGAGAAGAAAGCTGCCTTGAGAAGGTATCAAGATTTCCAAAAATGGATGTGGAAAGAATGCTACTGCTCATCAATATTATGTGCAATGAAACATGGGAGAAAGAGAGGCAGCCCTCAGGTTGACATCTGTGATATCTGTCTCAACCCTTATTTCTTTGAAGACTCTCATTGCAATTGTTGCCACCGCACTTTTCCCTCAAATAATGGATTTAATTTTTCTAAACATGCATTTCAATGTGGAGACAAGTTATCCAAAGATATTAGTAATTTAGATTCTTCTCTTCCCTTGCGGACAAGATTGTTTAAGGCTCTTCTTGCTTTTATTGAGGTGAGTTAATAGCCTTGGTTTTTTCTACTAAATTTTAAAATGTTACCTTGTGAGGGATGTTATATTCACATTCTGATGTACAGGCATTTGTTCCACCTGAAGCATTTCAATCAATTTGGAAAGAAGATATTAGGAGGCATTGGGGTCTGAAGTTAAGCAAATCATCTTCTGCTGATGAACTTCTACAGGTTTGCCATTTCAATTAAAATTTTATCTTCCATACCCTTGCAACATTTTAAAAATTGAGAATCAATGTCTGCTCAAACATTTCTAAATTTAGCAATCCGTTTTGCAGATATTGACCCTACTTGAGAGAGCATTAAAGCGAGATTTTTTATCATCAACCTTCACTACAACAGAGGAACTGTTGCGGTCGAGCAGTATGTCAGAGAGTGCTGCACATACTTCTACTAATCCTGAATCAGTTGCTACACTTCCATGGGTTCCACAGACTACTGCAGCTGTGTTTCTTAGACTTTTTGAGTTGGATGGATCCATAATCTATGTACCGCGTGAGAAAACTGAGCTTCGTGAGGAGAAAGACTCTAGGGAGTGCATAGTAAGTCTCTTTCATTTTTCCTTGATTTTTATTGGACTGCTTTTGCTCATAAACTTCTACAATGTATGGTATCACCATGAAAGGTTTGCTATGAAAATATGTATAAGTTGGGCTGACATTTTATATTTTTATCTGAAAATAATGAAGCTGAACTATTATGTATCCAAGCCATTCACCAAGCTGATTGGATGTCAAGTTTCTCTTTGTACAAGTCCCTTTTATTATATATGGGGGACAGTGTGTGGCTGGAAATTTTTCATGCTAATCTAAAGAAAATTAGTCATCTAACTTGCTTTGCTTTCCTGCAGAAGCTTCCTTCAAGATATAATCCCTCCAAATCTAGTAAAGTGGTTGAACCAGAACCAGCAGATTCGGACCATGATGATTTCATGAAAGTTAAATCTGCTCCTATGAAAATTGCACGGAGCAGCAATAAACGTGGACGAGGGAGTCATGATAAAGGACGGGGTAAAAAGCTATCTAAAAGAATGAGGGATTCTAAACGAGATACCAGCCGCAATGTTAAGGTCACTGAGAATCTAAGTCAGAGAATTAAACAGCAGGGACGAGGATCACAAGGACAAGCTGGTGGACGTGGTCGCCGGACAGTGAGGAAAAGGAGAGTGGAAAAAAGGGCTGTTGAAGATTTGTTGCTGGGCCATGGGGCTGCCTCTCATAGCTCCAGTATCGGTAGGGAACCATTGAGAAGCTTGGATGAGGATTGGGATGATAGAAAGGCAAGTCCCATGACTCCCATCCACATGGGGGCTGCCGACATCAGTAACAGTGCTGAAGAGGCTGAATCTGGTGATAATGCTCAAGCAGTGGAATCTGATGATAATGCTCAAGCAGTGGAATCTGATGACAATGATGAAGCAGTGGAATCTGATGACAATGATGAAGCAGTGGAATATGATCAAGGAAACTGGGAGATTGGTTTTAGCGGTACCCCCAACAGATGGAGTAGGCATTTGGTTAATATGAGTGATGAAGATGTGGAAGCTTCTGAAGATGACAATGACAATGGCATTGAAGAGGAGGATTCAGAGGCAGATGTTATGAGCGAGGGTTCAGATGGTATGGCTAATGGAGTTGTAAATGGAGCAGGCTCAGACTCGGCTGATTCTGAAGATTCTTCTGATTAGAGCATAGTTTTTTAGCTGATCAACTAAAAGGATTGCATTTCAAAGCTGCATTACATTTTTGATATTGCAGCTTTACAAAGTACCTGAACTCCTAGTCAGTCATGTCATGGCTTGAAGAGTTTTATGGTTGAGAAGACTTACATAGTATATTTTATCCATGCAGAGTGGATCCTTGTATTTTTAAGCATTTTGAAGCCGAGGGCCTTTAAAGCCAGCCTCATTTCATTTTGTTTTTTATCCTTATAATAGGTATTCATTAATTAATATAGTCTTATACCTTAATTATCACTTCATTGCGCACAAAGTTGATTACTCATATAATTGTCTATTTGATTTTCCTTAATTTACAATTTAACAATTCTGCATAGCTCTTTTAATTAAAGGCTTGGTTGTGAGATATTCTTTCTTTAGTTATTTGATGTTGTTTATCTTTCCCATTTAGATAGGTGACATTGTGACTTAGCTGTGGATTCAAGTCCAGCATCTTGAGCAGATTCTTCACATAATTTATGCGCGTGTTTGTGCATGTGCAAAGATGAGGACATTAAAGGTTCCAAGGCAATTGGCCTTTAGAAGAAGCACATTGTTTGAAGTTCATTTTAAATGTTTCAAAAATATAGTTTAAGTTCTTCAGTCTAATTTGTTGATGTAAAGACCCACTTAGGGGGCGTTTGGTAGAGGAGTTTTGTTTTTATCCGGGAATCATGATTTTCTGGAATATAGTTGGAAAACAACTTTTTCGAAAATGTTAGCAAAAAGGTGTTTGGTAGACAGAAATATTAGTGGGAATATTTATTGAATTTTCATATTGCTATGTTTGATTGATAGTAAAATTTTGATGAAATTTTGGGTAGAATTTACAAATGTACCCTCATTTTTAAATATTAATCTGCAAAGCAAGTACAACTCACAGGTTATTTTCGTCTTTGGATTCAATGTTACTTTTTGGTTTCCTTGGAAAACACACAATTCCATATAATATCTGGAATTTTTTTGTTGGGATCTTGAAATTTTTTCGTTACTTTTGAAATCCTAACATTTCAACTTTCCAGTAATTATATCACACTTTTAGTTTACCAAACGTTGTATTTCAGTTTTCCGAACCTAATAATCCAAGGAAACCACGGAGAATCCGCCTAACAAACAGAACCTTAATGTAATCTGAAATGGCATCAACTGCACTTGTCCAGATAGATATTTCTTTTTACAAAAAAATAAAAGAAAAATATTTCTACAATTACTGCAGATAATAAGTTATATGCAGTAACCGCAGAAAAAACGAACCATTCTTTTTAAAAGATATTAGAGAAACTGCGGAGGCTACGTTGCTTAGTAATTGCAATATAGTGAAATGATCTATTATTTGCATTAGTGAGGGCATTCATTTGTGTCATGAATCATAAATTTTCACATCTCCATTAATATCTTTCTTTCACTTCTTGGTTTGGTAGATATATGTGAAAGAAAATCTCACTTTACCGATGTATGAGAATCTGAAGCAATTTCTCTCGAAAATTAACAAATCATTATAGGGCACATGATTTCCCACGTTCCTCGTATTCCTAACTGGGTGCACTGTGTTGAAGATATTCCACCTCTGTAGATCATATAATTCAAAAGTTTTCATTTTGTCTAATTTTTCATCATAACTTTTCTAGATATGGTGTTTATAGAATGTTGCAATTTTGGGGATAAAATGCAAGACTTTATATTGCTCAGCATTGCTAGTCATTTCTTTTTAAGGATCCTTAGATTTAAGCACTAACAGTTTTTTTTTTTTTTTTTTAAATCAATGATACTTGTATCTTCAAAATTTCATCAAAATGCTGACAATGGTTCGATTCCTGGCCGTATGTATGTATGTAAAATATTTTGTTGATAAAGACAAAACCCACTTCGATGATCTTTACACCTCGCGAAGATTAGTTTTCCACTATCGACTATCGACTATCGACTGAGAAATGCCCTTTGATTTTACTGAAAAAAGATTTGATGTAGAGCAAAGAATTGAATGCATTTTGTGCGAATGATGAATTAGTTTTGTTCCTGGTAAGATTTCAATTTGTTATTTGTCCAATTTAAAGTCTTGGATGCTTGATTTGAAGACGTTAACAAATCTTTATAACTGGTTATATCATCCTTTGATGAAACAGACATCTTTTCAGGCTTCTGTTATAGTTACCTTTCCAGTATTGAGTGCCTGGATGTTACTCTAATCATGATTATTGCTCAGCAGACGATATTTCTTTCTTTGTTTTCCCCAAAGGGGAATGTCCTCCAAAGTGATTTATATTTTATATGTTGTCAAATTTTTATTTATTTTTATTTTTTGAGTCGTGCTTGGCGAACACAAGATTTGTTTCTCCGTAATTTTGAGTTTTGAATGCAGGCTTATGTTGCCTCTTTTACTGGTCAACTTTTATTTTTTCGATAGAATTCATTCAAAATTTGCTAAGATTTAAATCTAATGATTATATAAAGTTATGGCTATGCAAGAGGTTTTTTTATTTTTTATTTTTTTTGGTTTCTTAAAGTACCTCCTTACGAGCGACTAATTTTTATATATATGAATCGTAACATAGAACTCAAGATTACTTGCATAGAAAATCCAAGTCTCTTATACTCAAATTAATATTTATCTATCTAAAATGAATAATAATGTTAACTGTTAACTCATTCTATCAAACATTTTGGAAAAAGAATTGTAGCTGTAATAATGTTTTCAAATTAAATTACATGCAAATACCTTAGGCTTTGTAATTTTTATTTTTATTTTTATAAAAAAATGTATCCTTCCATACGGACCATGCCCCTGGAATTAAATGGAAAGTGGATGCTTCCTTCCTCTTTGACTTCGCTTTTTCTTCACTCCCTTTCCCTCCTTGACATTCTTTTACTATTATTATTGTTATTATTTTAATTTATTTCTTTTGAAAACAGAGTAGGAAATAGGAAGTAATCAAAGTTCCGCCAATTGCGGTATCAACTTCACTCCATCCAAGAAGAACAAAGGTTAAAGGGAAAAAGAAAAAAAGAGAGAGGAAAAGAGATAGGGTATGCTTTCAACTTTCAAGTGAAGTATCCACATCAAAGCATACATGACTACAAAAGACAACATTACTCGTATAAAAATTAAAATACACAGCTTCAGCGAAATTTAAAACCTTGTTGCTCGATTTTGTGCAGATTTATTGCAGTCATTTGATGTGTCATTTCTTTCTCCTTTATCTTTATTTCTATTTGATATGAAAAATGTTAGCCGAGTTGGTACAACGTCCTTACTGATGTGATTTAGAAATTAAAAAATAAAAATTTTTGTTTTGATGTAAATTTGAAACATTTTACTGTTGTGGTGCAATGGAATTCGCCAGCCTAGCAAGCAAGTGGCGTAATAATGTTTTTTCCCCCACCCGCAACGGGTGGCAATTTTAAATACAATACATCAACGACAAAAAATTAATATAATGTTTTTTAATTAAAAAAGGGAAATCAACTTGTCATGTTGTAGGAAAATTACTGTTCATACCTGCAGGGACATCGAAAATGGAGATTGTGTTTATTTATTTTTTTGATTTAATGTTTTAGTGGGTCCCACCATGGTTTTCTATCTGCAGGTATGAATAGTAATTTTCCTGCAACATGACAAGTTGATTTCCCATTAAAAAATTACGTATTTATTACAGTTTTGAAAAAAAAATTACGAATTTATTGCACAATGTTACGTCCTTTTGGGCGTCACATGTCACGTCCAAAGAGGGCGTCACGTTCTGGTGAGTCACGCCCAAACCAGGCGTGAGATGTGACGCCTAAAAGGGGCGTCACCCACCCACCCTATAAAAACTTCCCATTTTTGCACTATGGGCACTATGAGTATCTAGTGATCCCATTTGGGCTTACTAATGCCCCGGCCGTGTTCATGAGTTATATGAACCGAATTTTCAAACCACATTTAGATCAGTTTGTTGTAGTATTCATTGATGATATTCTGATCTACTCCAAAAGTAAGGAAGAACATGCAGAGCATTTGAAGATAGTTCTACAGATTTTAAGGGAGCATCAGTTATATGCCAAACCATCCAAGTGTGAGTTTTGGTTACATGAGATCCAGTTTCTTGGACACGTCATATCATCTACAGGAGTGGCTGTTAATCCGAGTAAAATTGAAGCTGTGCTGGATTGGGAGAGACCCAAGAGTGTTACTGAGATCCGAAGTTTTCTGGGTTTAGCAGGATACTACAGGCGGTTTATTAATGGATTCTCCAGAATTGCCTTGCCATTGACTAGGTTGACCCGAAAAGGGGTGCCATTTGCATGGACCCTTGGGTGTGATGTGAGTTTTCAAGAATTGAAAGATAAGTTGACTACCGCACCGGTTCTGATTCTTCCTGATCCGGAGAAGAGATTTGAGATCTATTGTGATGCATCCAAGTATGGATTAGGGTGTGTGTTGATGCAGGAGCGAAAGGTAGTGGCCTATGCTTCTAGACAGTTGAGACCACATGAAGAGAATTACCCTACTCATGATCTTGAGTTAGCGGCCGTGGTTTTTGCATTGAAAATATGGAGACACTTCTTGTATGGTGCTACCTTCACAGTTTTTAGTGATCACAAAAGCTTGAAGTATCTATTCGATCAAAAGGAGCTTAATATGAGACAAAAGAGATGGATGGAATTCCTGAAGGATTATGAGTTTGACCTTCAGTATCACCCTGGAAAGGCGAATGTAGTGGCTGATGCCTTGAGCAGAAAGACCACGGGTGTGGCTAGCATGATGATTGCAGAGTATGATTTGATTGAGGAGTTCAGGGATTTGCGAATTTCTGTGACACCATTTGAGACTTCATATTTCATGACTACGGTCGAAGTCCGAAATTCGTTAATGGAAAAAGTTAAAGCGGCCCAAGTGCTTGATGAAGGGATCCAAATGATGAAAGAGCAAGATTTTGTGTTCACCGATGCTTCTCATGTGAAATACTACAAAGATCGGTTAATTGTCCCGAAGGGACCAATGGTAGAAGAAGTGTTAACAAAGGGTCATATGGGTAAGTACACCATCCACCCAGGTGCAACTAAGATGTACCAAGATTTGAAACAGAATTTTTGGTGGTCTGGGATGAAGAAAGACATAGCCCAGTTTGTGAATAAGTGCCTTATTTGTCAGAAGGTAAAAATTGAGCATCAGAAGCCTTCTGGTTTGCTACAACCATTAGATATTCCGGAGTGGAAGTGGATGAGTATATCCATGGACTTTGTTGTTGGATTACCAAGAAGCCAGGCTGGATTTGATT